AGATTGAGAGCATACAGATTGGTCCCTGGCAATCTACTGATATAACAAACTAATTTTAACTTACTGTACAATGAGTAAAACATAACAAACTGCAAAACCAATGTAGATATAAAAATCTAGAGAATTTTATGATATTACGTTTCAAATCCATACTTTGGTAAGAATTTCTTGAGATGGGAACATATTTTTTGCTGTCTCTGACCATTCTGGCAGACCATTTGAAAGAGATGATAAATCTTGCCCACTCATAAAACTCTTTTTCGCTAAAAGAGAATGTTTTGAACGTATAAAGAGAATTTATCTTCTTCATCTTTTGATCCTTAACCTAGTAACCATGGCATGAAAACAAAAGATAAACAAAAGAAATAAAGGCCATTTTAGCCATGGTGACCTAGTATGGAATAGACATGATTTTGGATTGCACCTCTAGTGCTTAAAACTTTTTCCAATAAGATTTAAATTCTTAACCAATGTAATAATAAAGTTGTCTAGAATAATCATGGCCTTCCACCATAGTAGCAAAATGCACTAAGATAGCAGTAGAAGTTCAATGAATAAAGAATAAAATAGACACCTAGCTCTCCCAAAATTTAGTACTATTAGGCATTTCTTAATTTTAAATTAAATCATTTACAGATAAATTTTTATCAATTACCACTATCCACTATATAAATCAATTCAGGTATGACTAGGAAGTTGAACACACATCTCATCCCCTAAGACAACTAAGACAAATAAATCCACCCTAAATTGAACCAAGAATTCACCTTTAGACCACTAAGACAACCACATAAAGGCTTTCATTGCCTACTCTTCATGATTATTATATCATTGATAGAAAAATAACTATTTATGCTATAAATATTTGAGTTCAATCAATTGCAAGGAGTTTCTCTCCCTCATAGCCACCAAATCATTTTTACTTATTGGCTACCACCTATTTCTTGTTTTGTCAAACTGAGAATTTTTCCTAAATATCAGCTGTAAACAAATAACGAAAATCATCTTGATAAAAAAAAAATTACAGAAAAAAGATGAAATTATAGTAACAAGTTCAACATTAAACCACTAAATGACAAATCCTTTTACTATCCCAACTTCTCAATTTCTTTAATGATAACATCCATAGTTGATTGATCAGTTTCCAGGTAACTTTTAACTTTTGAAGCACTGCATGATATGGATAAGAAATTAAAATCATTTTTCCACAACTTAATCGTTTTATCATTTGTTGAAAGAATAAGCAGGGAATCATTTGTGGCAGCGCACCATCTTACTTTGTTGATCTTCTATTCAATCTCTAAACTCTTCAGGTAATCAAACTATAGGAAACGTAATATCATCAGGACCTACAACATATGCATGCAACAAGAATATATGAAGCACTTTACAGACAACAAGAAATACAACGTAGCTTAAAATTGCACTTTTAAATTATTAAAAACATACCTCAGGCTCATGGCTCTGAAACTCAGTCTTGTATTGATACTCAGGATGCCGAGTTGAGATAAAATCTAATTGCTCCAATTGATACCTAGAACGGTGCTGACTTGGAGTCTAAGAAGCCAATAATCAATGATAAAAAGGATCATAAAGCTATCAGTCTAAACAAAAGATAACCTGAAATAATTTCAAAAGATATTTCACTAATTTAATATTGAACGTATCTAACAGAATTCAAAAGTTTGCACAAGATTCTCACATCTTTTTTATTCTTCCTTCCGAATATAATACGTTCACCTCTATCACTGATAGCCAGATAATCACCACTCTTATCTAACAATGTTAGAATGGTTTGCTTTTTCCTCTCTGCTATATTGTTTATTGAGGTGTATAACATGTTGTCACTTGTCTCCAAATTCCCTACTCATTATAAAATTTTAAGAATTCGCGGAACATGTATTCACCACCATGGTCAGTGCAGAGCGTTTTAAACGTTGTCTCTGCTTCATTCTCCACTTGAGCTTTAAAACTTTTAAATGTCATTAAAACTTCAGATTTTTTCTTACAAAAAGTATACCCATATCTTTTAACAATAATAATTAATAAAAAAATAAATTATTTATTTTTGCCATTTAATACAGGATTAATAGGACTACAACATCGAAATGAATCAATTCTAGTGATTTTTTAGCTCTCCATGCCTTTTTTTGGGAATTGCTCCCAATTGTTGTTTGCCAAGAACACATTCTTCACATAGGTTGGAAGGGAGAACAATCTGAGGTACACCAATCACCATGTTTTATTGAGAAAGAGTCTTCAATCTATTGAAGTTTAGGTGGTCATAACGAATATGTCATAGCATTATTTGATTGTTCATCTTGTTCAGAAGGCAAGTTTAGATGATATAGAGTCGCAGCGGAAATAACTTATTTGATGTCATCTTGACATGAGCAATTAAACCCCTTTTAAGATCGTGAACTTCACAAACTCCTTTTATTATAATCTCAGTCTTTTTTCTTACAGCTATCCCACACTTGACAAAGTACTTTTAAAGTTAGGAATACAAAAAATATTTAATATAGTTTCAATATTATTTTCTTTAATCCTAATTTGAACATCACCATTTCCCATAACACTGACTTTAGAATGATCACCAAAGCTCACATTAGTATGAAAATCTTTATTTAAACGAGAGAAAAATGACTTACTACTGCATATACGATTGTTGAATTATATGTCCAAATACCAGACATCTGGCTTATGTTTGTCTTCCTTGACGTAGAAAGTCATCAAGAGTGTTTCTCACTCTTATTTCTCTACAAAGTTGGATTGCTCCTATTTGTTGAAATATAAGTTCATAGTGCATTTAGACTTGTAATGATTGAACTTGTGACAGCGATAATACTCAATATTGGACTTGTTAAATTTTGTTTCACTATGGTGATCATTTCTTTTACCTCTATTTTGAGATTCTAATGTGTTAGTACCTCTACTTCTCCTTTGTCTACGTCCACGGCCTCAACCAGGTCCACTTGATCCT